ATTTAGGTATGACTAGAAGAAAATGGACGTATGTTAAATAGATTTTGGCAAGTGCAAAGAAATAGGAAATGTAGGTTACATTGAGAAGTGTAAATAAAAAAATAACGTTTATAATATTCACACGTGGACAAACTCATCAATGACAACAACTAGATATCTGTTTATAGATATCTAGTTTCTCTAACTTGTATATCATTAGACAGAGTTTTTAGTGACTACGTAATTGTTCTCTGTGTGATCTTACGGGCTGAGTATCTGAAATATTTTTTCCCCCCTCGTTATTACACAAGGCCTGGTTGGAAAGGGACAGTAGACAGAGTGTTAATCATGCGGAAAGTCCCCACTGCTCACGTCACTGAAATGGTTCAATTGAAGGGTAAATCCTGATACACACGATTTCCGTGTTGTTGCAAGAGATGCTGAATGCACACAGCAAATGCCTTAGGGACTTAGACACCGAAGTTTTTCATGGTTTTTTTCTCACAAAATTTTCTCGTCAGTGGCTATAAACATAACGTAATGAAGGTTTTAAAATAGTTTTATTTTCTTTACTTAGACTAACAACCTTCCTGTATTGATGTACCCCGTGTACCGATATATATATACATACATCTCAATTGCACACAGAAACACTCACATACACACACGAATACATATATTCATATTGCCCCCTTAAGAGAGGTGTACGAAAATAGCTTCATACTTTGTTTCTTTTAGAGAATGAACTATTCACGCCACGTCCATACTCTAAGGAAAATAAAGTTGTGCAACCTTAAAAGACGGAATCTATTTTCACTTGGCACGTGAATGGTCGATATGAAAAGATACTATAATCATTTAAATGTTTCAGGCTATCGTGTGGCGTGCTAAGACTCATAACAGAATATGGTCTATGACTGAACTTTAGGGGTCGATGCATATTGAAAAAAGGTTCAACGTAGGTAAAAAGAAACCGTACAAGCCAATGAGATGCCATGAGGAAACGGACGCGCTTATCTGTTCATTTCGAACCGTTTCATCGGTATCCTTATTGTGGAAATTCGAAATGGTGGATGATTATTTCTAGAGATGATGCGCGTGTTGGACATAACCAGTCGTTCGTGCTTCCATTTTGGTAACTGAATTTAAAGGAACATTTCCACATCCACTTGTTATTTTCTAGTTGACGATATACTTGTTAGCCTAAATCGATAAATTGTAAATAGAACAATTTCAAGGCGCATAGCATAGACAGAACAGATTAGAACAACTTTGAACTCAGTAATATCAACACTTTGGGGATTTTTACGACTAGAAGAATTCTAGAGCCAGAATTACCTTACACTACAAAATCGCTGAGCACAACTACAGTAATCGTGAAAGTTTGTCACAGGTAGGATAAAAAAAATGTTGTTTTTTTTTTTTTAATATTCAGTATTGGGAACAGGTTCTGGTTTTATGTAAATGACTATTGTTTACTTATACCTTGGGAACGAAATCTTCCAGGTGTGTCACACAGTTCCACCGCTAAGAATCATAGCGTGGGAAGCCGTAATTTAAAATCAAGTTCAACGATGTCTCTGATAAGCTTATCCGCATGGTCCCTGCTCTGTTAATCATTCTTTTAAAACATTTCGATAAATTACCTGATAAGCACAGCCACTACGCCAGACAGGTCTCCCATTGCCAATATATAGCACTTGATGAGTGGACTCCTGATTTGTTCCTTTAACCAAGATACAAATCTTGCAGTAATACGTCAGTAGTTTCAAAAGGCGTTGAATAATATACGCCAGGATGGTATTGATCATGTGTACAACTGTATGTACGCGAGAGTACTTTTTTTTAAAGGATCAAACCCGATAGGTATTTGAAGAATGTTAATGCAATAATTCTAATTAACCTCTGCATGTATTGAGCTGTATATAGGGTGCGATGGGCAAATTGTTGCCATTTTGTATCTTTAATTTCACGCATGCGCGTTGTTTATTTTTGATTTTATTAGCTGCAAATTATATTAGGGTCAGTTGGGTACCGTCTGTGAGAAAAAAAAGAGTTCCATGACGCAATTCACTCTGCCAGAAATCTGAAAACGGCATGCTGTACTACTTGGCATTCGCACCGGATACTAACAATTTAGAGTGCTTGGTTGTCAATCTGAGGACAGTAAAGAGGATTCGGAAACAGTTGGAAGAGTCTAAAGGTGATTACGAAGATACGGCAGTTCGCAAAACTCATTCTGATCGTTCCGATGAGAAGAGAACTCTAGAAATTTTTTGTGACAGCCTCAGACTCAGTACAGAGCCTTTGAGGGTGGGTGTTGGAAGACGCTATGTCTGGCAACAGGAGTCTGAAGCATGCCACACAAGTAAGAGAACCCAGTTATTGCTGTCAGAGATTATTTGAGACCACATCACCCCTTACATCTAGCCACCTAACTCCCTAGATTACAACACCCTTGATGATTATCTGTCGGGTGCAGTTGTGGAAGACAGCCAAACATCTCCTTGAAGAGGAAAGATGAACTGAAGGCAATTCAAGCATACACCTACTTAAACAAGGAGAACGACCAGAAGAGGAGGCCCTGGTGGAAGCCAATGGCGATTATATTGAGTAAATTTATTCTTTGGTATTTCAAGATATTTTGTGTAACTTTGGTAAATATACTGTTAAATTGAGAAGGGAATGTATCATATAGGAAGACAAATGAGTAACTACCGACACCGCTGTTCGATCGTGACACTCTGGGCTTATGAATATATATTTACCGCCAAGTGTATAAATAGCGGTGTCAGGCTGTAGTAGCTACTGAGTGGAACTATCCAGTCGAATTAGTTTGATTTATTGTTCTTCGATGATTGGGGTTTTGATTTAGGATTTAGCGGACGTTAAGCTAAGCCGCGTTACTAACAAGTTTTTCACTGAAATCGTTAATTATCTTCAGATGACATTTACTTCTTTGTTCTTGTTAAGTATTTATTTGCAGTCGTAATTAAATACTTTTTTTATCTTAACAATGAAGTCTTGTGTTATACTTAATTATTAACGCCCACCGTACGTCACAATGTTAATTTCATTTTTGCGTAAATTAGATGACAATTTATCCACAGTACCTTGTATTTCAGAATTAACAGTAATCTCGCTATATATATGTCTGTCCGTTTAATCTTGAATAAATGGAAACATATTCATGGTATAACAAAATTATTTTTCGTCCGTGCATATAAAAAAACGTATACGCATAGCTAAGGAATAAACGCTTTTGTTCAACAAAGCCCTGAAGAGGCACACACATCTACACGGCCAGGCTGGCTCGCTGGTATGCCTTCTCATCTGGAACTATTGGAGCGGTATATATGCGCATGGGCTGTCGACAATGCTTTGCGTCTGGTCTTCCAACGTTAGAGTGAATCATATCCGTTTAAAATAGTCTGAAAGGCGCATAACTCTGCGTGCATGCTCAGGCATAAGGGCCCGCACACTTCACTGGACTTTTACAGGGCACCAGTTAACAGGTTTTTATTTAGGCATGCAGAAAATAGCGCAAGGTAGTCGACTACTTTATTCTTCTAAGAAATTCAGGAAGCTGAAATCTTAATACGATTTCACTGTAATCTCTACCTCTTATATGAATATATATGTGTATATACGTACTAGTATGCGTAAACACACACAGCAATAGCGAAAAAGAAACAAAAAGAGAGGAAGAGTAAGACAGCTAGAAAGAAAAGGAAAAAAGAAAGAAGCAGACAAAGGGAGAATCAAAAACTGTCATCTGTACTTAAAAGCATTGATAATTCTTTATATCTATCTCTTTCTCACATTCTCTCTCTCCCTACCTGTCTCTCTCTCTCTCTCTCTCTCTCTCTCTATATATATATATATATATATATATATATATATATATATATGTTGGCGGTGTCTTGTGATATTTATCGAATGTTACATGATATTATCCTGTAGCATACAAAATTTCTTTACATCATTTGTGTGTTTTTGCATACAATCTATCTATCTATCTATCTATCTATCTATCTAAAGTGTATGCGTGTATATGTGCGTGCAGTGGTATTTTTATCTACAGAATATTACCATCTTGTTGTGTATTTCTAAATCTTTCCTGTTTGTACATGCGTGTGCATGGTCATCCTGTGTACTATCTATCTATCTATCTATCTATCTATCTATCTATCTATCTATCTATCTATCTATGCCAGTCTGTTCATATCTATCTATCTATCTATCTATCTATCTATCTATAAAACTGTATGTGATTGCGCATTGCGAAAAATTCGCAGTCAGTTCTATTTCCCAAATCTAATTGAATGGCCTGAATTTTTAGGGAGAGACACGGGTTATTCAATAAAGTATACTTTGTTATTGTATTTTCCCAATTCTCGTATAATTTTCTTTTTACATATCCTCTTTAAAACTAGGGAATATGGAAAAATTGCCCAAACATCATGTATGTGTCATAGTTTTTTCAACCATGCCGTACCTTATCAAGAGCTATCTGTTGACAGTTTCATACCTAAATATTTTATTAGATTCAAGTTTCAATAAGAGAATATTTTATTGTAATTCGAAGGTAAAGTTATTAAGCGAGTACAGCAATATATCCCAGATTAGATATAGCAATTCCTGTAGTGAAGTCAGACGTTTGCCGTGATGGAAGACGACGTCATTTTAATTGGCCAATTCCGGATTTTTTTCTTCGATTACTGCCTTTAAGCATTTAAGTTTGGAACACTACTTGTCTGAATTGTAAGACTGATTTTTTTATAATATAAATGATTTGTTTTTTTACGGTTTATCAACCTATACGTTATTTAAAACCGGAATAAAATTTTTGGATTGTAATAATTTTATTTGGAGATAATAAGTATTTTCTGATCCAAGCCCCGAAATTTCCTAAAGGTATTTGTGCATAAGCGAATATAGCGAACCCAACTGGAATTGAAACTCGTCCCTTCGATTTCTCTTTCCGGGCCGTCATCCATTACACCGCCCGCACATCCAAGCTTACAGCACCTGGTATTCCGAAGAGGTCACCCATCTCGTTACTGGCCCGATGTTGCTTGACTTCAATGATCGGACGAGAACAGTTTTTCAACGTGCTATGACCGTAAGCCCATATCTCTGCTCAAGGTACTCGTAATGTATAACGCCATTGCAATCTCTAGGGATACATATCATCGACAAATTCGAAGGCTGACCGGTTTTATCACGTTTTCAGGGACACATGGTTGACTCTTCATCGCTTGTGATATTTCTTTTTTTTTAATGATTCGTTTGAGCATAGGATTGTAGAAGCAATGTTTCCATTAAATCGTGAATCACCCAAACATCGTAACGATTCATGCATTCATCTGTCTTCAAAAGGTCTTATATATAGCTCATGTGAAATATGCAGAATATCTTCTGCCATGTTTACTGTCGCGTGACAGGATTTCTGCCGTTTTAAGCAGGATTTTGATTCGATCATTCTCAGCGACTACAGAACTACAGGAAGGTTCTGGTCTTCTAAATCAAAATGTCCATTTCTTAACCTAGGAACAGTACTCTCAACTGTGACACCATTTTCAAGAACGACAAAATTTGTTTTTTGTCGTTTTTACAGCGTTTTTTTTTTGTTTCCGAAAATAAAAAAAATCAAATGACGAAAATGCATCAGATTCTTAACCATTTCTATTTTAAATGTAAAAGAATTGAAAATTGATAATTAACATCAGAAAGATACGTTGAAGTGTCTCCTATCAGAATATTTACATACTTAATACATTTCAGTCACTTGTATACTTCACCTGTTTAAATGTCATCCATTGACCATATTTTGTACGCATTACTACTGCGTATTCTTTCGGTTATATAAGGCCAGTTCCAAATTAATTCATTGGAAACTATTGCGTTTCAAGTAAATATCTGAATGATTAAGTATCCATTAAAGGCAAAATATTAGCTTTATATATATGTTTTCTGTTTAGACGTTATTTTTATACATACAATTCATTTAAGTGAATGCTCTGTCTTTTAATTAAACAGTATTAATTACATTTACCATCCTGAATGTTCGAGTAATTTTGTAAAAAATACGCGTCCTCCGACATGAATCAAACTTATATTCCTATACGGAAACCGTCACTTGATCTGACGTGCTATACCATTTAACTACAGAAAAGCGTCTGGTTAACAAAGTCCAAATTACTGTTTTTTAAAACACAATCTTCAACGATTTGTCTCGATTTATCGTATCTGCTTACGAAATTTTTGAGCATTTATTAAATAAATTGTATCTATAAAAATTACGTATGAACTGAAAATATATGAAATAATTCACTGACTTAATCCATTTAACTATATATATATATGAATAATTTAAACAAGTTTTGTCTATTTTTTTTTCAATGGGATCCTCTCATATCCACGGACAGATTGCTTCGTATATTTATTAAAGGAAAAGAGAAAAATAGCATGTTGATACATATACATTTATTGCGAATACTTTCGACATTGGTACTATGTCATCATCAGGATGTTGTTTTTTCTAAGATAAAATTGTTGTGTTCACCTGAAATTTCAATTTTTTAACTGTGGAGTGAAAAACGCTAAGGTTATGTACTGTACGATATAAATTTCATGATGTAAACATCAGGGACGGTAACTAAGTTTTGAAATGTCCATATATTAAAAAAAAAAAGACAACGAAAAAAGCATCACACTTATGATGACATTTTACTAATGTCGAGTGTACTCGGAATAAGTGAATATGTATCAACGTAGTAATTTTTCCCTCTTCCTTTAATAGGTATATTAATAAGCTTGTCCGAGAATATGAGAGGATCTTACTTAAAATAAGCAGACAAGACTTGTCTAAATTATTCAGTGAGACATGTCTTAATGAAAACATGCTGCCAATATATATATATATATATATATATATATATATGAAAGTTGAAATGTTATGGATACGTCATGAGTAAGAGCCATATGTCAACCTACAATGAACCACCTTAGTTAAAAGAAGGGAAAGCGGGAAAGGGGAGTGGTTATAACGTCACTGAGACGACTGGGCAATCATTCACAGAGACATTGGCACGCAACAGAAATATAAGGAAGGAGATCACTCGGTTCTTCCCTGCACAGCGACTCTACGACCAAATTTGGCCATGAGACTAATCTTGAGATTATAATATATGATGATGACTATATGATTTTCACATTATATATTAAGGTTTGTCGTACCTTAATAGACAAATGTTGCCTGTTTGTGATGTAATAATTCATACGTGACAGTTCAAACTGTGAGATAATTTTTTGCTTAATGGAAGGATTTAATTGTTTTTTCTTACTATTGATACTGCAGCTACATTCTACCAAAGCCATAAACAGCTTTGTTTAAACACATGGAGAATTCTGGGGACCCGAAATGTTGGTAGGCATTAGATTAATTGTTTTAAACTAAATCTAAGATATTTATTGGAATCATTAATGTTATGTACGAGCGAATGGATTTTAATCTTATTTATCGCTAGAGGTCATTTGGCTATGATAAGAGTAAAAATTATATTCGTCGTTTCCTGATAAGGAAAGATTCAGCATCCATTGACCGCACATTCAGTGCTACTTCCGTTTGAAATGTATAAAATCGTTCTCGTAAAACAATTTTGTCAGGAAAATATGTTTCTCAAATTCGTGAACTCTTATCTGTCTTTTCGGTATTGATGAAGGCTTCATTCCTAACCATTTGTATGAAATAGTGAGGAGCATCAACATTATTTTCACCTCGTGTTACATATTCTAACTGTTTTAGTTGTTGCTGCTGTTGAAATTCCTCAAGTGATGTGGTTTCTTTTCTTTATTTGGTACCGTTTGTTATTAGCCCCAGTCTACGAGAGGGACTGATAGGTTCATAGGATGACTCTAGAGGAAAGATACTAGCGATGTAAAAACTTACCTGCTGTAATTAAAACTCTTATTATTAACCACATTGCATCTTTTCAGGTAAACTGACATCTAACTCGTTATAGGAGACTTCAAAAGTAATTAATAGTGACTTCTCTTGAAAATTGGTTAATCTTAGTTTTATCAAGTACCTGCAGAAAAAAGGGTTTAGCTCCCAAGGAAATTCATACTGACATGGTTGCTACATTAGGAAATCATGCTCCAGCTTTATCAGCAGTGCAAAGGTAGGAAGCTGAATTTAGGTGGGAGTGGGAGCGTCATGAAAATGGACTGCATACCACCATCGAGGAAAACATTGATCGTCTTTACCATATGCATATAGATTACAAGCGATTAACTATAAATCAAATAGACAATCCTATCAGCTTATACCACGAGAGAGTTAACATTATTTTGTACAATAAACTTAGCATAACGAAGGTTTTTGCTCAGTTTGTGCCAACTTTTCTGACAGCATGCCAAAAGCGCATCAGGATGGTTACATCATGGCAAAATCTGACATACAACTGGGTTTCATGGACGTTCCTTAACCCCGGATCAGTTTTGGATTCAGCACTTTGAGCCAGAGCCACAGTGACAATTGATACATTGGAATCACATTTTGACAGCTGCTCCAAAGAAGGCCAAGATAGTTTCAATTTCAGGGAATGTGATACCACAGTTTTCTTTAGATACAAAAGGCTCTGTGTTTATTGACACTCTTAAAAAAAGGTACGCCTTCTGTATCAATTTGCTGAGGCATTTATGAAAGGCTCTCAAGAGCAAACGACTAGGAAAACTGATGAAAAGTGTTTTGTTTCATCAGGAAAATGTCCTTGGCTTCTGTTGTAACTAGAAAATGTTACTGAATGAGGAATAATCAAAACGGAAGTTGGAAATGAAAATACAATACTCGTCGGCTGCGTGAAGTAGGTAAACCAGTGCTACTAGTGAACTACTTAGACAGTATATTACCACCACTTACTAGAAATCTGAATGCCTCAGGCCAGTACCGAAACCCAACCGATTTGATGTCAGTCAGAATTTCTATCAACATTCGGCAGAGAGAAAACAACTAATTCTGGCGTATTGTTTTTACGAATGTAAACAAACGTCAATATATATATATATATATATATATATATATATATATATGAATGTATGTGTGTGTGTGGAAAGAGAGAAAGAGAGAGAAATAAAGAGAGAGAGAGTAGAATGTGTACATTGACAACTTATTTACCGAAATTACACAAAAATACCTTGAAACACGAAATAGTAAATTTCTTCAATAAAATTGACATTGACTTCAAGCACGGCCTCGGAATTTACTGCAACTAATCTAGACGGTCTTCAGATGGTGGATGCTGCCATAATCCTTGCTTTCAGTTCATATTTGGGGTTAGAAGGAGTTTTGTTGGTCTCTCGTTCAACTGTACCCCACACATAATAATGAAGGGCGTTGCAGTCTGGGGAGTTAAGTGGCCAGATGTAAAGTGTGATCTGGTCGAAGAAATTGTCTGGCAGATATGACTGAGTTTTCTTGTTTGCGCGGCATGGGAGTTCTGTTGCCAGAAATGGTTTCTTTCAGCAGTCACCGTCTTGACCTACGTAACACTCTTTGTTGATTCTGAAACCCTGTGGGAAGATGAATGGAGCATAACATCGACATCGCAAGTGTTCACTTCAAACAGCATGAGGTTGACTGAATATGTCATCTAATCCTTTCCGAATCGTTAGCACTGACACCCAAACATTCTGAAATTTTCGTATCGGAGATTCCGTTGTGAATGCCAAGGAGTACAGCATGCTCTCTCCAAATTTCTGGTGGAGCGAATTGCGTCATGGTGATCTTTTTCTCACAGACGGTGGCTAACTGTCCCTACCATACTTTGCAGTCTACAAAATCATAAACAAACAACGCGCATGCGTGAAATTAGAAATACAAAATATACCCATCATACTCCATCTCTCTATCTCACTCACTTTATATATATATATATATATATATATATATATATATATATATATATATATATATATATATATATATATAAAATGACTTCTATTTAAACAGATATCAGGAGGTTATAAATTAAAAGTCTTTCTAGGAATGGGTACAAACAATGCCGTTAGTAATATATTTGCTATTCTACTTATTTAAATATGAAATTCATTTTCGTAATGAGAA